TTTTCAGACCCAGTTCCTTATTTTATGTTCAAAGCTTCTATGGGATCTCACTCATTATGCGTTTTTGCAAATATGCGAGTGCAAAAAGCATATTGTGACAACCCATAATGTGTGTGCGTATGTTTGTGCATGTATGTGTACATGTGCGTATGTATGTGCGTCTGTACCTTGAGTGACCAGATCTTGAGACGTGAGGCAAGTAAACCAGAATAGTTGAGATGAAGTGATTTAACAGTTACATGAACAAATTGTTGCAGCAGATACTCATTTGATTCATTCAGAATGCAATGGAAAGATATAGTACGCTTGGGGCAAATTCAATCGAAGTGGTCATCGATTTCACGCGACCTGATGGACAACGCACTCGACCATTACTTGTGGAGGGGAAACGACTGTACGTGGATGAGCATTACATTTCTGCATGGTCACCAGTCTTACGGTTTGTTTTGATATTATATTCCGTTTAACCCTATGAAAACATGTCGTTCTCGTTCTAGTAGATGTTTATTGCCAGGTAGGCTTAAACGACCAGTGAGCTTAGAAAAGTTTCGACAGGAAAGTTGGTCCTCAAATCTATTTTTTACATTTGAAAAAAAGCATGCTTTTTTCAAAGACAGCCCAATGATGGGATCTCATCAACACGATTCCTATTCTAATTGAATTATTTATCATTTATTGGAGCTGATTTATACATATATAACATGGGCATCAGTAGCAGTGATACAATCGTGTGATGCACATAATAAGTTCCAACAAATGTTCTCATAACAGACGTTTTAGTTCGCAGCAGATTTCAAAAAATGAGCTGGCTCCTCCTTTCTCCTGCTCTTCCTTCCTCCTCACATTTTTGTGCGTTTTGTGCTGTGTAACAACAGTATAAAACGCCAACTGTCACAGGGCTGTGTGTGTGTGTGTTTGCGTCCGTGAGTGTGTGTGTCCTGCACTTTCAACTCGGTGACCACAAAAGCTAGGGAGCTGAAAATTTAGGAGGATGTTCCCCATCCAATTGTGACCCCGTAAATTTTAATTCAGCCTCCCCGTATCCGCTGATAGCACATACGGCCCCGTAGAAGTTCTGGCGGATAAAATTATTATCACAGGAACCATGGAAGCTACAAAGATGAAATTTTGTAGGCATGTCCGATGCTCATATGTGACCCAGAAAATTTAAATTCAGCTTTCCTCCGCTCGCGGGTAACAAGTGCGACCCCGTAAAAGGTTTTGGCATGGAAATTATTGTTCCGGAGACCATGGAATAAGGGAAGCTGAAATTTTAGCGTAATGATCCTCTGCCTACGTACGACCTCGCAAATTCACATTTAGCGTTTCGGCATTCTCAGGTATCAACTGTATCCCTCTGAAATTTTTTACGGGTAAATCATTATCTTGAAAACCACGAAGTCTAGGAAGCCGAGATTTTAGAGTAATGGCCCCGTGACCACGCACGACCTTACAAATTCAAATTCAGCGTTCCTACTCGCTCAGGTGTCGCATACGGCTTCGTGAAAGTTTTGGCGGGGAAAACTATTTTCTTGGGAATCACGAAAGTTGGAAATCTGAAATATTAAGGCGATATCGCCTATCAACGTGCAACCTCCGCAAATTTGGATTCAACCTTCATGCGCCTCTGAGTACCCAGCTTCATGAAAGCATTGGTAGGGAAATTATCATCTCGTGAACTGCAGAAGCTAAAAAGCTGAAATTTTATCGTGGCATCCTGTGCCACGTACAATTCCGCAAATTCTCAAAGTCCCCGTGGAAGTTTCGGCGAAAAAAGTCATTATGTTGGGACCAGAAAAATTAGGGGGTAAAAATTTCAGGAGAATTTTTCCTGCCTAAGCAGGTGCTTAACAAACTCGATTCAGTTCTTAAGTATGCCGAGGTCTCAAGTACTATCACCTGACAGTTTTGTTTCAAAGATCATTCGAAATCCAGAAAATTAAGAGTTTGAAGCTTTGGAAGGATATTCAACCTTCGAGGTTTCAAATTCCGCTTTCACATTTCGATGCGTGAAATTTTTAACTATTTTCAACATTTCAACTGTTTTTGCAGAAACCAAAGTGCGGAGCAGTGAAAATCATTAACAGATAATCGTTCGGTGGACGGAACTGCACAAAACGCATGATCGCACCGATGCGCGCTGCTATTTATATCTAAAGCAACCGCTGATGTTTACATTTTTAATATTTCTTCAGCCGAGATGCCCACGTCTGGAGAATGATTTCTCAAAGATGGTTGCGAAATGGCGCATATCTAACAGAACGCTATGATATTTCATCAAGCTCATGTCAAATGTCTGATAAAAGGAGTGCCACAACAGGCTCTCCGGTGCGATCACTAAAAAAACGGCCGTGTTTCATACAAACCCAGGCTGGAACGCACCAGGCTTTCCGTTGCGATCAAGCGTTTTGTACTAAACTCGCAGATCGCTGTTAGCAGGAATGATCCCTACGCTGTAGCCTAACACTTGGGCTAATATTGGCCATGTTCTGATTCTTACCAACATGCAGGAGGGTGGGCATCAGCTGGGATGAATGTGGTGAATTACAAATGGGATGAAGGTGGTACACATCCAGGAGCATGATTCTCGGTTTTTTGCATGAAGTCCGGTTGTTTTTATGCGTTTTTGCCTATATGCAGATTGCAAAAACGCATATTGGGACGACCCTGTCTGTGCGTGTGTGTATGTATGTACGTGTGTGTGTGTGTATTCGTCTGTCCGGGTATTTCAACTCGGCAACCAAGCAAGTTTCAGCGCCAAGATTTTGCTATTGGGTACCCCGGCCAATTACCACCCTAGAACCGCGGTACCATCCCCACGCACATCTGGGCCCCGCGTACGAGGGGTTGAAAGTTTTGGCGGGAAAATTGATAACTCGGGAACGCGAAAAAATAGGAAGCTGAAATTTTGAGGTTATGTTCCCTGTCCAAATATGACTCAGAGGGTTTTTCGTATTTTTGTGTTTTGATTGTTATTATACCTCCTGCCCACCCTCAACCTTGCCCATTCAAACTCAGCCTTCCCTTACCGGCGGGTAACACGCGTGGT